TGAATAAACTGTGTGGTCGCCCTTGTAGTAGAGAAGGTGTCGAATTAAAGAAGGTGGAAGTACCTGGAACGTTAACCTCAGACTGTGTGTATAGCCAAGCGAACGGAATCAGAATTGATAACAGATAAGGAACGAAGACCCCGTATAACCGTAATCGGACTTGACAACGGTGTACCAGTATAACAAAATCAGCAAAATCCATTTTCTGAAAAAAAAAAGATCACATGCACACCAGAATGACAAGGCAAAAAATAGAAACCAAAAAGAAACCTGCACGATGATGTTATTATCACCTAGCAACAAAGAACAATAATGAAACTGCAGAACCAATTATAGTACCACTAACGGTGCACCAGCACAACAAAATCAACACGCACACCAGAATGACAAGGCAAAATGAATAAAAACAGGAAAAAGAACTTGCATGAAGATGTTACTGACCATCACCTAGAAAGTGTTATTAAATACATTCACAAACAAAACAAAAAATTAAACAGCCTAGAAGTGTTTTAAGGAATAGAAAAAAGAAACTAATCCAAAAATGTGAATGTGATTACAACAACTAACCTGTAAGTTACTTGAAAAGAAGATAAAGTTGTTAATTAATGTATTTTATACAAAAAAAAACTATAAAATACAGTAGTACACTCATGCCAAAAATACCTCATGTGGCCACCCAAAATCAGAGAAAACTCAAACAATTACACAACACCAGAAACAACAAAATCTGTTATTTGAAAGGAAGAAGCGTTAGTTTACCAAACACAGATAAAGCAAAAAGAAGCTCCAGAAATGACAAAATTTTGTTATCAGAATGACAATTATAGTAATAGCAGCATTAGTAAAAGAATACCAATAATGTTGGCACCAGTAAAACGATGGCACCAGTAACAATGACACCAGTAACAATGACATCAGTAACAAATGACGATACTAGTAACGATGAGATTCTATTACTTGAAGAAAGAAAGCATCACATACTGAAAAATAAAAAAAAATAAAAAAATAAAAAAAAACAATGCAAAAAGTACAAAAAAAAAAAAACAGTGATTATTGATAATCACTAATTGCATATATACCTCGTGATCAGGGATGCACCAAAATATAATTTCTTTATTATTATATATTCGTTATTATATATTTAAATAATATATTTTATAGTAATTGTATAAGAATATTCTGATTGGCTGATGGAAGTGTGGTGCAGTCACATGATTTAAGGTAATACAAGATTACACAAAAAAGTGCTTTGGATTATACAAAAATGTTATACAAGAAAGTAATACAAGTTCACCTTCTTCTTTTATACAAACATCTAATTTTTTACACAAGATGTAAATAAATATAAACATGATAAGTAATATTTATATTTTCTCTACTTCACCTAGTACAATCACCTTCTTCATCTAATATAATCTTCTACTTCCTTTATACAAGTTCCTCTTCTTCTCTTGCCAAGTGTTACTTATTTACTATGCATTATATATTCTTTTTGTGAGTAAAAAGATATATAAAGAGTGTCTTTTTCTCTTTTCTGCCAATTCTTAAGTTCCTATACTTCACTTAGACTCTGATATCTTTTCACCTTTCTTATCTTGTAAAGTGTGATATTTTCCCTCTAAGATAATTCCTACAAGTAAGGCTTATCACTATTCTTGTATTAAATAAAGCTATTTTATATACTGTTACTATCTAGAACTGTTTGCCTGCTGCTGTGTAGTTAAGTAAACAACTACACCTTTACCCTGTATATATTTGCAATAGTTATCAGATAACCTTGTTATTTGGTTATATTTTACTAAAAAGGTTACAATTCTGTAACAATATGAAAAGCTCTAGCAACAATGTCTTAAGAATAAATTAGTTTTAAAAGTTCTAGAGAAAGCATCTAAGACTTCTTGACTAACAATTGTAATAAAAATATACTAGTAATACAAGTTGGGTTGCATTATAAAGAGTTTAAATAGATAACCTCCTAGTTGAGTAGTAGATATGATAGCTAGTATAGAATCTGTAATATAATACTACAGTCAGGGATATTTCCAAATTTGATTTGTATAACAGATAGCATTTTAGAATATTGAAGATCGATTCCAGAATAATCTATAAAATTTCTTTAACTTTTATTGGCTCGTAATCCATACTTTTTAATCGAAAATTTTTGATATCTGTTAATTACTAATAATTATATATGTGAAAAGTAGTAGATGCAAGGTTTTATAATCAATAGAAAATTAACTGAAATCAATTTTTTTAAAAAAAGTAAATGAGACCCGAAAAAAGCAATTTTAAAGCTTATAGACTATAGTTTATTGAATTTCTAACTACTTTTTGGCTTTTTTTTTTTTTTTTATTACATTGTAGGATCGTTAATTAACATATAAAAGATCCCCTTTGATAGTAGACCCACCATATATTAGACTCGGCTGCAAACTACAGGATCTTCATTAATCAAATACAGAAATACAGGGTTTTTTTTCGAATGTTTAGACTTCATACTATAAGTATAAAATACGTATATGTTGTAAGTGGGAACGGAATTTAAGTGTATTCAGAATTTTTATATAAAACCATCATTTTAGGGTTGATTTTATCATCTGAACACCTGTTCCCTAGCCCTAATTTAACTAGGAAATTCCAAATCTACTTAAATCCCGTTTCCACTTACAACATATACACCTTAAGATTCTTCTCTTTCTCTCGGCCATGTACTATACCCGGGGTCTGTATGGTTTTAAAACCGGTTGAATGTAACAGACCCGGGTCTTGTATACGATAATTTACGGTATTACATATTA